AAAAGCTGTATTGCCTTTTAAACAACTTAAATAAGATCTTTGGCGAAAAAAGATAATATATAAGTTGTACCTTTTCTCTATTTTTTTCTATGTGCACGTTTATGAACACATAAATACAAAAGTTTATTATGCATGGTTCCTAAACTCATATTCATAATGTCAATTATTTTATTCCCAGATATTTGTAAAGATCATATCTACAGAAGAAGTATTTGTGTGTGTATTCATTCATACGGTCATTTCAACAGACATAATTAGTTTGGCCAATTTCTTTTAAAGTGATTTGATCTCTAAGCGCCAGGCTCTCTTTTCCCACTTCACCTAAAGTGGCTTAAAATTTTATTTAATGTAGTATAGTCTTTAAAGACCAAATGCTGTAAATTAGCCCACATTTTAGTTTCAAGCACAGAATCACATATTGAAGTCACACATTACAACCAACTCACTTAACAACAAAAACTCAACTAGCCAAAGCAAGCAAGCAAAGTAAGAAAAAAAAAGTCCCCTAGCTCAAATTAGAAATCCATTTGTTTACTAGAAAAACCCTGTCAATTAGGACTTGATTTTATAAGACTAAATATACTGCAACCAACATGGGACCAAAAACCAAACCACTTTAAATATAACCCATCTACGTATTTCTTCACAATTATGAAGGCCAACAAATTTTTATCTAAACCCCCCATCTTGTTTTAACACAAACAGATGTTTGACAATGGTGCCAATTTCTTAATAATGAAAGAAAAATATGATACATACCTTTTAAGATTCAACTATATATTTTATAGAAGTTATTTTCATTTTTTAAAATGTTACTAGACTTACCTGAATGTAACTAGAATTACCTGAAAACATAATAGGGACCCTGATCGTGGGTCTGCATAACTGCTCCCCTACCATAAGTTTCTGATTATTTTATTTGAAAACTTTCCATGCTTATTAAGGATATAGGAATAAATTCCTAAAATTCTTTATTTAGTGTTTTTTAAAAAACTGTCAAACTTACATTATAAAAGATAAATAAAAGAATATTCAAGGTAGTCTCCCGTTATCTTCTCGAAGGACAACAGCAGAGGAAAACTCTATCTAGAACAATATTTTTTCTTTAAAAAAAAAAAGTTCCATTGTAATACATAAAGAATATATAAAAGGAAGCATAAAGCTCTGTGCAATTCCCCACCATTGCATAATTTTGCCCCTTGTAAACCAAAGTGTAGGGAAACAATATAGTTATTTCTCTCAGCCAACAGATTTCAGCACAATGCTTTCCAATCAGGTCCACCTTGCTTCCACTGCCAGCTTCATAATGCTTAACTCTTCTGAGAGGACAAAATGTCATTCATTAGCTCCAACAAATGTAAAAAGAAAGAGAGACTTTAAAAGAGCTTTGATAACTTCAGTTAAAACAAACTCCTGTTTATGAAGACTTCATGGCAATGCAATGAGATTATTGTAATTACCTAATTAAATAAGCTGCTACTAGAAGAGAAAGAAGGAGGTGGTCTTTTATTAGTGCAAAAGGTTTCTTGAGGGAACAGAATGTCCGTTCCTTCTTGAACATTTTAAATCCATACAGAATTTATGTCAAGAAAGAACTAGAACCAGTTATACTAAATTACGAACCAACAGGAGAGGAAATCTGCAGTTTGAGAATGTATTACGGTCCAGTAGAGTAGCCAAAACACTGATCCGTTACTTGTCTTCTCTTAAAGGCTGGCTGACTTTCTTTAAAAACAAATACATACAATTTGGCTTATCTGCCAAAATTAAGAATGCCTGGTATGGATAGTTTACTGAAATATTTCTGAGATAAAGAGCTGAGAAAGCGATACACTATCTATCCTTCATAAAGAGAAAAAAGCGGTCATCTCTCAAATTCAGAGCACCATGTTTATGAAGTAGAGGAGATGCTATTTAAAGCGGGGGGGGGGGCATGATTTTGCTTAAGTATCTGAAATGTAACTACATCTTAAAGGGTCTTATTAGAAAGAAACTTTTCTCAAGTATTGTACTTAATGTCTATGTGATTTTTAAACATGCAAATCATTACTATAAATATATACATACATAGAGAGTACTCTCTTTAATTTTAAATGCAAAATTTGAGAGTAACTCAGGTTACTGCTGACTCTGTAAGTCAAAAAAGCTACTTATTCATTTCTACTTTTATATAGGACTTAGTAAATAACAGCAAAATAAATGACTTAAAATATGAGGTAGTCACAGTATCTTCCTTTTGTGGAAAAAGATAAATGCAAAGAAGCCAAGTAATTTGATGATTTCTCAGAACATCAGAAATAACTTCAAAATCAGGATTGGCATTCTGAATTTCTATTTTCAGTATTGTCTATTAAGGCTACAAACAACCTCTGTTGTTCAATTTACCATTGTGGGAGGAAGGGGAATATTGCTCCCTAGTACACAGAATTATGACTAATAATATAAACAATATTTAGGTTTCTCTTACATTACTATCTAAACATCTTTGTAAAAGTACAGAACAAGATAATAACTCAAGTTTTATAGACAAATCACCTTCACATCTCAACTTACATAAAAGGCATGTTCCTAAAAATAACATAAAGTTGCTTATTATATCTAAAAGTGTATTTAACACAACTATTATGGGATAATTAATAGTTTGGTTTATTTGGTTTAGGATTGGCCTTGAGCCTATCCTTTCTGCCATAATAGTAGATATAAATCAGCTTTCTTCAGAAATGGTGGTTTGAGAAGCCCCACATGCAACCATCCTATTATTCTTTCCCTGCGAAGTCTGGACCAATAGGGTCTGTTGAAAAGGAAAATATCAATTGCACCACTGTTCCAATGGGAAATTTGAGTTTAGAAACTTTTAAAATGCAAGTACCACCTTAGCAGAATGGAGAGTCACCCATTAATCACTTAATGTGACTAACTCACTTTAATTGGCCTTCTAAATACCTAGCTAAGAATGCAAAAGAATTACCATTTGTACTGCGAGCTCTGGGGAAGGAAAACAAAAGGCAATGGTGAGCTATGTCTGTATCTGGATGAAGACTCTGGACATCAGGAGGGCAGCAAAAGGACCCACACTGCTTCAGCAGGATAGGAGAAGGAAAGAGGGTTCCAGGACTAGATGTTGGAATTCAGTCAAAGACAGTTTTAAACAGATTGTACTTCTGATTTAGTACTACTGACCAATATTGAACCAAACCAAATATTTACAGTGAAAATCAGGCATGCAGCTAAACGTTATAATTGTGAAGCAGAATACCATAAAAGTTAAAACAGTCTATGTACATAATGTTATGTAAGACTACTGTAGTTTGAACGCATGCAACTGTGGATCCAGCTGTACATGTTACTATTAATATCATTCTTTTATAACCCAAGATTGATATGGAATGTTGTCAAAGTTTTATATAGTTTGCCTGTGTCTACTAATATAAAGAAGCAATCAGAGGTTGTCTACAAATAACACTGAAAACACAGCCATGGAGAAAGTTGTAGTTCTTCCTGATTTAAAATGTTCAATTATAAAAGTAGTTTTTCTAATAAGGAAAGGAAATTATTGCTTACTATTAAAGGTTTGAACACTTCTTGATTTTAGGCCAAAATTACATGTTTATATTTCAAATGAATGGAACCTAGCCATTAAAGAGTCTTAATAAAGCATCTGATGACCATTTTATATAGGTAAGGTGACCCTCTTGTGAGCAGGGCCAGCATCTGCCTTAGAAGCTAAACATGTCACTTGAATTTTACTTATAGCCTTTAGGTTCTAGAGTATATATTTTAACTCAGATATATAATAGTAGTGTATTAAAATATAATAAGCTTTGGAAAAGTAAATGTTTCTACACAAGAATGATGGACTACCTGTAAAATGCCAGTAATATATAAAAGATCGTAAGTTATTCACTTAGCCTATGCAAAATCTATATGCTAGATTTTCTGCCAATGATACCTTTTCTTGGCCAGTTTTAAAAGTACCTATGGTTCATGTCTCACAAACTTTAAGTTAGAAAACAGGAACTGAAGAACAATTATCATTTTAAGTACTTCCTTTGGACTAATGTTCATACAACATAGGCATCTCTGACATTTCTAATTTCCAGCAACATGGGCACTTAGATTCATGAATCAAGAAAGAATAAGCCAGCGGGTTTACTGGGGGCTACCAATAAAAACCCAAACATGGAAATCTAACTGCTCAAGGCATAACTGGCTAATGGTAATGCCACATATTAAGCATTCACGGTTCTTTTCTATATACACATTGGAAATGTAAGAGTGCACATTTCTCAGGACCTTAAAGCAACTGCCATGCCTCTCAAAATCAGAAAAGCTTTAAAGGGATTCCTATACCTAAATACTATCAACTGTGAAAATTACCTTACGTTAAAATATTCTTATGGGAATAATTTTTAAATTAAAATTTCCAGAAAACTAATAACAGGAGAAAAAAATTATGTTGAAATAGGTACAGTTCTTCCTATAAAGCTGATCAATACGGTACTCTACAAATTTACAGAATTTTAGATATAGAACACTGTGTTGCAGAGCCTACAGAATTATATTTTTCTGCTCTTTCTGAATCCTGAGGCAGATTTTAGCCTTCTCCAGACAATAATTTTTCACACTGAAACCATATAGGAATACTAGTTTTTGTAATAGCATTACCTTTTAGTTCTACTACTTTAAGGTGGTAGGACATACCCTGGACACAAGGTCAATAAAGCGAGATGGGTCTGAATTATTTGTACTTTGAGCTCTTCATAGGAAAAGTGGTTTATAAATTCAAGTTGTTAAGTGTTTTGGGGAGCAATGGAAACAAATAATACTCAGGTGAAAAAAAAAAAAACCACCCTAGTTTTTAAGATAGTTCCTGACGTCCAATATAGGATATAAGATTTAAGATACTAGAATCCAACTATCCAATTTATATAGAATTACAGTACTTTGGAGGAGTACAGAGAAATACTTTTAAAAAATACAGGTATATAAATTAATGAAACTGGTATTTAAAAGATTTAATACAAGGAGAAAAGATACTGTATAGTGGTACCAATTCTTAATACAAATTAGTAAGCATAGTTTATATAATTTCAAAAGTTATTCACATTATTGCTAGATACCACAGTTGTATGGAACAAGTTCTTGACACACATTAAAACCTTTATAATTTCAGGTCTATAAAAACAAAAATTTACACATAGGCCATTCAGAAATTTAGAAAGTTTTAAAATGCATGGAGATATGTACAACAAAAGGAAGGAAAAAATATGTATGTTTGTATATATTTAAAAGAAACAAGCTAATCTGATTAAACTTATATGTCACATTTTCGATCAAAAAAGTATACATAACTGGACTGAAAGCGAACTAGTGGATAAAAACAGTACTAAATACGTCCTCCATTTCTTAGTAATAATCTCTTCTAAATATCAATGGGGTATTAAACACCAGCTTACTTTTAATTCTACAACTTTTGCTTTCTTTCAAAAACCTTTCAGAAACATACATCCATTCTACAATTATGTTAGACTGGGAGAAATATTTTCCTTAGAAATTTTTAAAAGGAGTATTTCCATACTTTGCTATATAAGATTTGATAAACAATAAAAAATAATGCAAGTAAGGCCATTATTATCATCTTGATCAAAAATATACACAGATTGTAATGCTACTGTATTTTGTGATCCTGAGATCTAGTAACCATTAGGTGCATGCATACCATTCATTATTTGTCTATTCTAATAAAAATAATTTAATCCTGCCTTACTACTTCTGAAGACAGAAATACTGTCAAAAATTTTTGATAGGTCTTCATAATGTTACAGATATTTCTGCTGTAAACAGAGCATTAGGAATTGTATGGGAAAGGATATGTTAGGTTCCAAAAAGCTATTAAAGAAAACTTACTATTTTAAAATAATAACTGTTTTAAATTTTAAAAGGAAGAAAAATAATACAAAGAGTGTGCTTGCTAGAATAGGTAAGTAGAGCCTTACAAAAATGTTCTTCTATATTATGGAATTAATAAATAAAGGACTGTGTGTACCTTGGTGATAAAATAAAAAAGGCTGGCCACTTTTTATGCTAATTTCAAATGTATTTTTTCGATAATACAAAAAAAGTAATCCTTGAAAATCAGAATACATAACAGAAAAGAGCACAATAACTTAAGTATTAAACATCTGTATGAAATAATTTGCAAAGTTTGACAAAAATGCACACTTAGAACATGCGGTTATTTAAAAAAAACAAAAACAGAAAAAAACACCACACGATTCTGTAGAACCAATGTTATGTCACCACCAGGAGAGCACCAAGCAAGGCACCATTGGAAAGACAACATACTTGGAAAGTCTCTATAAATAAAGTAAATGCTAATCTGGTCGAAAAATCGGTGTCTTTGGTAAAAATTCTATGAGGATGACCTGTAGAAGGAGAAAAAAAAGTTTTAAAAAGATTTAAATAAATTTTTATCTTAAACAAATTTCCATTCTATGCCATCACTTACAGCAATTTTGACAGTGCCCCTGAAGGAGAATGCATGTGGGGGTAAATGACGAAGGGAGCCAGAACCAGCATTTCTTAAGAACTCACTACATACCAAGTGTCTCATACTCTGTATATCTTTTTAATCCTAAGAGCTTCTTCATGAGGCAAGTATTATTACCCTCATTTTACAGATGAGGATACTGATGATCCAAGTAAGTATAACACCACGCACTGTGGGGTCAATATTTGAACACAGGACTACCTTAATTCCAAAGCCTTGCCCTTTCTACTGCACTATGTGGTTACAACCAACCTAATGTTTATTTCTTTGGCCTTCCTCCTTTTTATCTCACCCAATTCCATGGGTCTTTGGGTTCTAGATTTGCTCTCACTTTACCCTACCATGATATGTAATCTCTTGATAAAGGGTCCTTTATCTCTTTAATTTTTGAAAAAAGTTCTTTTCTTCTTAGGTCAGCAATATTAAAGACTAAATTTGTTCCAAAGGACCTTTTACTATGAAACTAAAGGAAAACCAATAAAAACAAAACACATTAACACAGAAAAACACAAGGTGACCAGAGCTAATATTTACTCCAAATGTGAGTTGCCTTAAACGACAATCAATTAATTCTTTCCCTTGTTCCAACTCTGTATGAAACTGATGCTAAACAAAACATTATTTGAACAGCTTCCAAGTTTGGTGAACTCCTCATTTTTCTTTCAGAAACTTGTCCTGATATAACCTCCAGGTTTGGACACTCTTCTACATTTAGCCAAATGAGCCAGAAACTTTCATTTTCACTCTTCAATTCTCCTGACTTTTGATCTGTCTCAATAAAGAAGGCTCTTCTACACACAGCTCAAAAATACTTCTCTCCTACTTTAGTTATCCTGTACTAAGCCTTCGGTGCCACCCTTTGACACTCTTCTGACCTGGCATTTGCCAACAAAATGTTCACTGGTTTCCTACAGCTTTTTATTTGAGCTAGATTCCTGTTTCTCAGTTTCCTCATATAATAAATAAAGGGATTGGACTAGATGACAAAATTCATTGCAGCTCTAAATTTTGATGATTAAACTACCTGATTTGATGTTTAAACTACTTATGAGTCAACATTCAATAAACACTTCTATATTTCAAACATGTCCTCATCAGACAGTTTCATAAATTTCAGTTCTTAGGTGTAGGCATCACATTTTACAGTGTTTACCATCTAATGCAAAATAAAGGCTACCTTTGACTATATTTGAATTATCATTAGTTTTTAAAGAATATATCCTACAACCTCATTTCACACACAGAAAGAAGCCACACATAGAAACTGGCCACTTGTCTTATTTCTTCTAAATCACACTATTCTACTGTATCTGAATAAAAGAAAAGTTGGTATCAAGTTAGTATTTTTTCTAGATTGTCCCCAATATTCAAAATATAATCAAGGAGAATCATTTTCTTTTAACTAACAAATGAAACTTCTGTAAGTTAAAGAAAAGTTGAGGTCAAAGAGAAATATGTGGTAAAAAGTGCCCCAATTCATTAGAAAAATGAAGCACTCTTCTTCTTACTATTTTGCTATCTTAACTTTTGAAAATTATTTCTTAAGGAGTTTTTGAAATTATGTTATTCTCCCAAGCAACTATCACAAATATACATACTCTGAGAAAACTTAGAAAAAAACACATTTTTGTAGCAATTTTTATATATTTTTCCTTTTAAAAAATTGTATTTTTAAGTAATCTTTATACCCAACATGGGGCTCGAACCCACAATCCTGTCACATGCTCCACGGACTGAGCCAGCCAGCCACCCCTATATTTTTCCTTTGAACAACTGTTTTGGATATCTTCTATGATGGTATACAAAATAATATGGCTTTAGGAAAAGTGTTTATCTAAAAATTCATGATAAATTACACTATTTTACAAAGTACATAGTTCAGAATGTTCTGGATGGTTAAATTATTTTATTTTTAGTTAATAAAAGAATGTCATAAAAATAAACATGAATATTTGAGTGCATTTTATGAATGAATGACGTTCTTATAGTTCTATCTGGAAATAACAGCACTGGAAATAACTTTCATGTTTTCCTTTCCCAAGTAAATTTAGAAATGTGTTAGTATTTCGGTTCATAAATATAGCAAGTATTTTTTCACAAAATCCTTTAAATCATCCCTCCCCCCAAAATATATAAACTCTTACCATCTATGATGAAAGCACTAGACTAGCATTTCTTAATAAAAAAAAGTATCAAGTATCTTTCTCATCATCATAAATTAACATGTTTGATATAATAGATAATGATAAAATCTACATTCTTTGATTCAGTGAATAGAGCTATTCTATGAAAAAAGACATTTTTAAGATGTCTTTTATGTTCAAGGCTAGAAATGGGATTTGACTGTATGATAATGAAAGAAAGGGAAAATGCTACAGAGAAAAATGATTTTATGATAATTTCCAACTATTTAAGCACTGTTTTAATCAATCTCCTGCTCACACACACTCTCACACACATGCACACACATACATATACTATCTATGATGGCTATATTGTTTCAGAGAATAGACAAAATCTGCCAGAAGTATGTCTGGTTACTTCACAAAGACTATGACTTTCATTTTCAACAATTAACTCTTCCACAGATCTTTTTCTTTTAATATAATAACCTTTCCATATTTAAAATAAAACATCCAAGCTCAGGGGAGAATAAATAAAAATTCATGATTTTCTACAGTATTCTGAACTTGAAAGGAGAAAAATTGTTCAAGTAAATCAAGGAGTCAGTAAATTAAACCCCATACTGAATAAACTCTAAAATTCATTGTATACATATGCCAATTAGATATCTTTTAAAGAATACAGGATGAGCAACCTCTCCTCTCCTGTTTTAAGATAATTTTTACAAAACAATATTCTAATAACATTTTGAAAGATTCTTTAAAGGCCACTGAGGTATGGGCAGTTAAAATATATAAAGGCTAAAGGTTTCTTAAGCTCCAACGGCTTGGCTGAAAGGTTTTCTTCCATACTTGGAAACTTGATTAGCATTATATAAAAAAGCCATATCTGACTTGCTGCGTAACCAAAGTTGTGGTTATTCTTTATACAGCATCTAAAATTTCACACTCCATCAACACATGTTCAGGCTATTTTATCTTGGCAATTAATTTATTATTTTTCAGAACACAGTGAAGCCTTGTTTTCAAGTCATTCATAACTTTATAAATCAGTCTTGCACATGAAACCATGCATCTGTGAACCGTAGAAAATCCCTGCGCTCAGGAGATTAAGCTCCTGACACCTTTGCTGATTAATAATCATGGAAAGAATAAGATCAGAAGCAAAATAAATGATCATTTAATAGAGAAACTCACAAAACAGCCCTTTAACTTACATATTCCATCATGTTATTCGTTTCACATTTCCTTTTGCTCAGTCTCCAGTGCAAGCACAGCTAGACAAGTAGGAGAGTAAAAGAAGAAAAATGAGCTCTATTTTATTGCAGCATACAGACTAACCCATTTGTCCACCTTTCATATTTTTAGTTCAACAAAAGCATCTGTTTCCATACTGTGCAATTCAGACCCCAACAGTACGAAGCTGCTCCCTGTGGTACTCACCTTGTGGTATAACCTATTGTTTTCCCATTCTAATAACTTCTCAATCGATCTTCGTGTCTGGAAGACAAATGAGAAAAAAGTTTACTCTTGACTGGTTTTAGAAAAACTTTGTTTTGCAGCTGTTTTTTGTGTGAAAAGGAGAGAGGTAGAAGACAGTGACTGAGTGAGTACATGGTGGTCTGTAATACTTTCAACATTTTAGTACTAAGTAGTACCCTGAACAGAAACAGTACTCTATTTTAATAAAGATATGGTTTTATTCTTCAGCACTGTATCTTTTTTTAACTGTTTCAAACTTATCAGCCTCTGATATGAAACTATCAAAGTCTTTTAAAAAGCTAATGTCAAAAAAATAAATAAAAATAAGAATAAATAAAAAGTTAATGTCATCTACCAAATGATATAAATTTTAATCCCCATTTCTTTCAAAAATATTTTTGCAGTACTTAGTGATAAAAGTTCCTTCATACATATTTTAAAACTAATTATTTAAATATTAGTTAACAAAATACAAATGACTTTAGGGTAAAATCAAAAAGAAAATAATTAAACATTAATAGATAAAAAAATCAATTAGCTATCAAAACAAATTCTCACATCATACTTAAAAATAACACCCAAATTTAAAAGCCTGTTTATTAATTATTCCACAGATAAGGATTTTCAGAGGCAAAATATTATATACAAACCAACAAAAATGATACTGAAATGCTTAAATCAATACTACTGTTAAAGGAATCAACTGAGAAATTTATGTTTCAGTACACTTGATTTTTGCAGTATCTTATGCAGCATAAAATGGGTCTTGCCTGGAAGTATGAATAAAGGAGAGGATAATTCATGACGCCAGGTGTTAGGATGAGACTGACACAGCTGCAGGTGCAAAAGGGACAGACAGTGTTGCCACAAGAATCAACTGCAACTTGGTGCAGCTGCAGCTTCCTTGCAGGGGAAGGAAAAAAGCATCTAGCACTATTAACGTGCACAACTAAATGAGTACTAATAATCAAATATGAAAATTTGCATGTCAAGCCAAGGATGAGGTGAAAAATTGTTAGGATCAAGCTGGTTTTGAATAGTTTAATGTTACATAACAAATGGTTAATATTTCTTTAAAGTATCTACTGTAATCTAGGTTACCATACTACCTTTTAGCATGTTGTACATACTAAAGATACACTAGTCACATAGGTGCCAATTATAATTCATAACTACCAATGAATTACCCGCTATTACCATTTTCCAAGCTTATGTCATAAAAATCAGAAAATCCCCTAACTCTGAGCAATAATATGCCAATGACTAAATTATCACATTACTTTTTTTGAACAGTTTTTTTGGGGGGGGCAAGAATTTTAAAGGAAAAAAAAGTGCCCTTGTTAACAATGATCAGCAGACCTCACTTGTTTCTTTGTAAAGATAGCCTTTTAGAGGCAGCTCTCCTTTTAAATGAAAATAGGGCAGCAGTTATGGTCACACTTTTTGTTAATTTAGTTGCCAGTCAGCCCCAAATCAAAAGAAAATAAGGCTGCAGAGTGTAATTAACATTCAGTTCAGTCGTTTTGTCCCTTGTCTAGCCCCCAAGCTTTGTTAAAATTGCCATCTGAATGCTGAAGGCTGTAGGGAAATCGATTTGATTCTAATCGCACCATGAAAAGAACATGATCTAACTGCTTTCAGCCCTCCGTAAATCTGTACTAGGTCTTTAGCACAATGCAACTTCCAATTTAAAAAGCACTGAATGTCTCGTCAATGACTTTGTGAAGAAAAAAGAACAAGGAGCAGACATAAAAATTCCAATAGTTGTTTAAGCATTAAAGTTCATTTGCATCACAGCGAACCTGAAAAGGGCTGACCTCTCAAACCGCCTCTCAGGTCTATGAAGTTGTAGCCTTGACAAGCTCACATTGACAGAGCTCATTGACTCTGAAAGGCTACTCTATCAATGGTGAAAAATGGCAATAGGTTCTACTCTGAGCAGGCATCTGCCTGCCCACCCGCTGCTAAACCAATGGCAAAACCGATTCAAAACCTGAATCTACCTTGTAATCTTCCTTTCTAGGACTTTTTAATAATAGATTAAGATTACTATACAATTTGAGGTTTTACTTTTACTGATGTTTAAAAAGGGGGGTGGAGAATGAAATAACTAGGGTGGGGAGAACAAGCTATCCAAGTCCAAGGTTTTACATCAACATATAAAAAGTAAAAGCTTAACATTACATTCAGCAAATATTCATTACTCAAAGAAAAAAGTGTAGTTACCATCATCATATTTCATCACAAATTTAAACCTATGCTATATTATAATAAGAATGGATCTCATTAGAAATGGATCCCAGGGTACATACAAAATCAATTTAGATACTTGAAAATAGTTACTTCAAGTAACTGAAGTCAACTAGCAGTTTTTGGATAAAAGGTAATTACAAAGTATAAACCTAAAATTCCAAAATATTTATGTAGGAATTCTGAATTTACTCTTCGCCTCTAATTAGGAGTTTAATGATAGGGTTTGGTATAATAATTGTATCTTACAATATTTAAGAACTCAAAACAAAACAAACCCTGATATGCAATATTCTGAATAAGCATCTAAATATAAAATATTTCTACATACTTGACAGTCTGAAGAAAAAGCTGTGAATTAGCAGCATCTAATCTTGCGATAAGACTTCTTTCCTGCTTGACAGGTGAAAAAAAAGCACTTGCACGTGCAGCTTAATTAATCATTGCACTTGACATCTCAATGATTTACAGTGAGGAGCAGGTGAGAACATACAAAACCAGAAAGGAACCCTTGATCTAAGTGGAACATTTCTAGGACACTAAGGTGACAAGTATATAGATTCTAGCAGTCATTTAAAAAAGGAAAGAGAAAAGAAAAAGAAAGAAAGAAAGAAAGAAAGAAAGAAAGAAAGAAAGAAAGAAAGAAAGAAAGAAAGAAAGAAACTGCCACAAATTATTTGTTAGTAACAACAAAAGCTCAAATTAAATGGAAAAAAAAAAAAGCTTTAACTACCAAGAACGTTTAATACTCTGCAATTATTTTAGCTAAAAAAAATCAAAATATATTTTCAAGCTTAAATACAATACCAATTTAGCAAATACTGAAAAAATATATGACACCTCAGCATTTATAAAAGCTATTTAAAAGCCTTTCAACATGAAAAGAAAGCACCTTATAACTGCAGTCATCTAGAAATAAAAGTTAAGAGTTTATGTCCACAGGGTTGTTAGATAGCTATTTCTAAAGAAACACAAGATTCAACACTGCCAAACTCTATTAATTACTACTAGACAAGAAAACCTAACCATATAAAAATCTGTTCTTGATTTTTAAAAGTTTGTATCAATCATCAAATTCAATATAAATTAAAGCAAACTAAGATGCATCAGAAAAAAATTAGTACGTACAGGGCCTGTCAACACAAAATACCAAAAAATCATCTTTCAGTATTCTAGGCCAGTGGATTTCTAAAAATAAGTCATCTTAATTTTCTGAAAAGAATTTGGTGCTTGTGAAAAGCACCAGATTGATAGTCATGGGAACTAAAAATCTTCTATTTAACTGAAAAGAACAGGGGAAAGGGCAGTACAGGCTTCAATGTTAGCTTCCCTACAGTGGGCCTTAATCCTTTTCAGTGTTCACACCCTGGGGGTGAGAGGACAGGTTAGTGGTTCTTTACCAATGAATCCTCAGTCCTGTAGCATAAGATGATCAACAAGAAATCTAAGTTTATCATGGATTCTTAATTAAAAGGACCCAGACCACCAACTCACACCATGCAAGCAAAACAAGTTTTTAAGAGAATAATATGCCATTAACCTGGTCTGGAAGGGGACAGCCCCAAGAATCTGGACTCCCACCTATCTTCCTTATCACAGAGCTCACTTTAACTTTTTTTCACACATTTCTTAATTTCAACACCTTGCTAATTATATTTTTCTCACAGGTGAAGTAACTATAATATAGCCATTTGGCAATGTTACAGTAAAAAATAACAGATTCAAAACCATTTCAATTTCTAAATAAACAGACCTTTAAGTAACAAGTAGTAGTAATAGAAGGATAGAAATTTTGGCTTCTATTTCTATTGCCTTTGATTCCTTTTAATTTTTTGATAGAATTGTGGAAATAAATGAAAACATGAAAACCTTAATAGATGTAAAATGGCCTGGATAATTCACAAAATGGCTAATTAAATAATGATTAATAAAAAATTTACATTAGGTATGACATGTTCTTACCAACTTCCAAAGAGGCATCTAAAGTAAGCTTACAATAGTAAAGTACCTATAAAGCACCTAGAAATACTTAAGTTAGCACAACTGAAAATTAGGGTTTCTTGAAAATTCAAATTTGGCTTATTATGAAGCATTTTTGCCATTTTTTTCTAAATATCATTACTTTCTAAGGAATAAATTAGTATCCCCTATAAGCAAATTACATGCCATTAGACATAAATAAGTCATTCAGGGCAGCAAGGAATCATTTAGAAAACGTTGAGTGTATTATTCCCCTACTTTGTTAACACTATTATTTAATTGTATACTCATTACCAGTGATTTGTTCATCACAATAAATTGTTTGAAAAGTGGTTTTTCAAAAAGTGGCTTTCTAGAAGTTGCTAATAAAATCAATGGAAATCTCATGAATTTTAAAGTACTTCAAAGCCAAAGGAAAAAATGTTAAATGTGGAAGCTGTAACAAAATTTCTCTGAATTTTTCCCAAGGAAACAGCATTCTTATCAGTCTTGAAAACATAAAGATGCTAAAATATGTTAGCAAGATATATAAATAGAATATCTCACTAATACTAATAACTATAAAAGTTCAGCTATTTCAACTTAAAAATTTAACTCAATAAACTCAAACTTTATTTGAATGAGATTTATTCATATCACAATGCCAAAGAGCAATTTCAAATGCTCAATTTCTTTTTTAAAACAAGTTTTAATTTTAAACTTCTAAATTTATAATGCATTAAGCTTTAACTAGAACAACGCTTTAAATACATGCATAATCTCATTTTTTAAAGTATTTTAAGTATTTT